GACTTGGACCTTTCTTATACTGTGATGAAGCTAGGTACCCAATATGAAAAGAATCTAGTCAATGGTTCTTAAGATATTCCAATTCGTACGGACGGACGGACGGACGGACGGACGGACGGACGGACGGACGGACAGAGCCTAATACTATTTAAAAGCGCAGCGGGGTATAATGACATAAGTGGGATGTGACTGTCAAGTGACTGTGCTGGGCACTTTGCACGCTTTACAGGGATGATTGATGTGTCTGGGAATGGGAGTGGTGGGAAGCGATCGAGTGGGAGAGAGGCCAGAAAATTTGATTCACTTAGCCTACAGCACGTTTCCACACCATGGTCGAAGTAAGAGAGATTAGAGCATACTGTGAGATAGGATAATTTTCAAAATGCAGTTTTTGTTTATATTTGTCAGCTATTTATGGATAACCTCAGTTATAATGAGGAAATAATTTTGTCCGGGAGAGTGGAAACAGGTCCAATTTTTAGTCAAAACAGGGAGAACAAGCAGCCAAAGAATTTCATCACTGGAGCTAATGTGCATTAGATTTGGATTTTAGATATCTCCATCATATTTTATGCATATGAATAATTTTCTCATATGCACCTCAGCATGCATTGAGGTCCAGTGTGTATTAAAAAGTGTTCTCCACTCTTCTACATAGTATGCAAGACCTTAGTCCATACATACATTATTGAAACATTTTGCTGGGAGGACATCTGTAATTGAGTAGTGAGTTGTTCCTTCTGCATGTTGGCAATCCAGTAACGATACACATGTAATAACCCAACGAGGTCAGTGCATTTGGAGATCAGTGTTTCTCCCCGGTATCCAAAACTGTGATTCCTCCAAGGGTTGTCTGATGTTAGCTCAGTGTCCATGGTGTGGCGGTTCTTTGAGGATCAATTCAATATGATATCTTTACATTTATATAGCTTCCAAACACAATTCCAAAAGCCAAATAGGAGGACCTTCCATTGGATGTGTATTCTCCAGAAAACAAACTAAAGGTACTTGGGTAGATCAGTACATGTAGATAAGTGGCTTGGAAATCATGACCCAATATGTGGTCCCCTGATGTAGAGACCATTCAAGTGGCGGAGTTTCTACTTATAGGGCACTGAAAATAATCATGCTGAAGATCATGCAGAGCTATTCTTTGTCCTTCTTCAGAACAAGAAAGATAGGGACTAGAAACCTGGGGTCTTGAGCCATTTACCTAAGGACTCTATCACTAACAATGTACTTAAAGGTCACATGCAACGTAAAACATAACTTTGCAGATTCTGATACCTTTCGGTATGGACTTACCAAAACAAATCATCAAAAATGCAAATTCAACTTATAAAGTTGAAAAATAACGCGATGAAAAAACCCGTGCGAAATCGGAGTTCAAACGATTCACTAATTTTCCCCCGACTTTTCGGGGGAAAACTGGTTTCAACAGCTGGGCTGCGCTCATAGCACGTGCGCAGTGAAATAGGTTCGCGCAACTTGGAAGCGGGCTGTCCGGTGAATACTCGGTGAAGGCTTTGGTGTGAGCTATTTTCCTAATGTTTTGTTGATATCTCACAGGCTCAAAGCTTTTATATGTTATGACAGTAAATAAACTGTTTATATAATTTCATTTGTCTATTTCACCACACGTTCTTCTTACCGAGTCACTTTCTCAGTTCAATACTTAAAAGCACTGTCATTATATAGCGTTGACAGAATTTCTAACTGTGATATAGATATGTCCTTGTCACAGACAAAACTCAATGTCTTGTTTTATTGACACCTGTGTGTCTGCCTGCCTGTCTGCTAATGACAATATTCAATACACAACTGCGATCACTGACCACATGCAATTTGAACTTAACACCAATCAGGCTATACACCATAAACGAAACGCATTGATTTATGGCCCGAGTTCGGTCTCTGTCACATTATGTAATTAGACAGACAGGCAGGTGTGATACTCGAACACATGACATGTTATGATGTCTGTTGATTGCAAAATGTTATACACAAAAAATGAGCATGTATTTACAAAACCCAACATCTCTATATATACACACACAATGAGCCGTGAGGGCACCCTGCAAATGAACCAGCCGTTACACTTGAGTGCACACCCACCCGCTCTGACTGGGTTCGGTATCCCGGCTGCTTCGTTTCTTGGGAAGTAAACCCAAGTACACAATATTGCACTTTTGATTTGCGATTGTACGCTTATAATTTTGTTTATATGTTTTTTCATAACCAGCAATGTATATAATATGTCATGAATAAGTGATAATTGTGTTTTAATTATGTTTGATTTTTTGGTTGCATGTGACCTTTAAGGTTGTTTGAAGCGCTGACAACTGAGGCTCTCGGTACAATCGATGAGGAGGACTGGATGTCAAAGGTGGTGGTAACCAAGAAGTTTGTAACCTTCTGTCAGGATACTAGAAAAGCGGCCTGCCTACTTGGGAGGTGAAAATCAGAAGGTCCCATTTGCACAACAATGTCTGACAGTAATTGCTTAGAGTCTGTGGATCTGGCAGACTCTGTCCCCTCCTGGGAATTGCTGAACATGACTGCTCTGGAGGCAGAGGTTGAAGTAGGTCGCATATTCTGATGTTTCCCCATGTCCAGTATTTCTGCTTGTCCCAAGAAAGGAAACCGGGATCCGTGTTGGAAGAGATATAGAGCATGAACACAGAGTTCCCTAACAAAAACTTCAGAGGTTGATGTCCATTTAGAATTCTCTTATGTGCTGATGAACAGAACTCTGCAAGGATTGGTCCTGGAAGTAAAGTTCAGGAGTCTGAATTCACATCTAGATACTTCATCATGAATAAAGCAGTTAGATACGAAAATGAAGAATTCTTAGCAAGTTGCAACTTAATGACAATCCACAGCAAGACAGTGTTTTTACTAGTAAAACAGATGTCTCCCCCCTTCCCGCCCTTTCCCCTAATTCAACGTTGAGACCTCAAACAATTTGATTCCTTCAATTTCAATATGTCTAAGTATGAAAATACATATTATTGATAGTTCATTGTGCCTTATAGTAGTACATGGTTGATGCTTCTAAGCTTACTAATAATTGGTATTAAGCATACAAAATTTGGTGAAAATGGATGAAGTGATTTTAGAGTTATGATGCGTACACAAACCCTACCCTTCAAAAAGACCAAGTCCAAATTTGTTGCCATTGCAACAGAATAAATTAGAATTGACAGAAAAGTTCAAACCCCCAAAAGGCACTTAGATGATATGGACAGGCAGTATAGCAAATTTGGTGAAGATGGGTCAATTAGTTTCACATTTATGCTCCAGGAAACGAACTTTATCCTTCAAAGAGACAAAGTCCAAACTGTCATTGGGATCCAACACTGTGTGATGTGGAAAAAAATCAATTAAACAAATCCCTGAAACCCCCAAAAGGCACATCTACATGTTATATAGAGGCAGTATACCAGGTTTGGTGAAGATTGTTCATATAGTTTTAGAGTTATATTCTGGAAAGAATGGGAATGCAGATGCCAATGCCAACGGAAACTCAACCAAAAACAATATATTTCCGACCCTTCACGGGAGACATAACAACTTTAAGGTAGGGTCTACAATGATCATGCTATCTTCCTTGTCATCTATGCAGGACCCTGAAGTTGGCCAAAATGACCCTGAAAGTTCCAAGAGGAGGGTTTCAAATGAATGCCCCACACAATGAGGAGGCCCATGTGGTGACTATGTTGCCTGGGGGGTGCCCATAGTCGGGTGGGCAGTATGGCCATGGCAGCTGGAGCAGAGATAGGGAGAAACTGTAGATGAATCCCCATCTGGAATATTTCTGAGCCTGTTCTCAATTTCAGCTTTTCTCCAATGAAAAACAGGATTCAAAGAGTGATTTATGTAGCGATAATTTCTGCCTGGATTTCTGCCTTTCAAAATATTTGAGATCATTGATGCTTTCACCATCAAAGTTTGCATTAACCTTTTTTTGAAGAAGAAATATTTTCACACTTGCAGCACACCATGTGTGGGTGGCAAGATACCATGAAGCAGTTACACTGCTGACACATTCGCATGACTGCAGACTACACCATATTAGAAACACGAAACATGAACCAATTTGTTCATGACTCAAAAGTAATAACAACTACGTTGCTGCAAGCCTTATTTCTTCTTTTATCCATCTTCAGGCTGTATATCCACTGCTTATTGGGTTTGTATGTGCCGTTCATATATGCCTCATAGCTACTTGAGGGACTTTTACCTGTTACATCATGATAATGTACACTCAGTTGTCATCTTTCTGACTGGTATTATACCAGACAGCCTATACTAATAGGTAAGTATGAATAAATGAATGAAAACTCAAGAAAGTAAATATTATTACAACACATATACTGCGATTACTAAGTTAATACCCGCAAGAAGGTCCGGGTTGGAATGAACCTTCAGTAACCCATGCTTGTCGTAAGAGGCGACTAACGGGTGGTCAGACTTGCTTACTTGGTTGACACATGTCATTGGTGCGCAGGTCAATGCTCATGCTGTTGATCACTGGATTGTCTGGTCCAGACTCGATTATTTACAGACTGACGTCATACACCACACTATACCAAAATCAATATTTCATGGATCACCTTCCTCATATGTTCGACATCAGTATGTTATTGCTTCAATGTAACATGTTGCATCGCATGCATAGCCTGTCACTGGTTGTCATAGTGTGACTACATAACATTATCAAGTACAAGTGGGAATGGTGGTGTTTCTAATGTGGACATACACAAGATAAGAGTAAGGATTTTCCAATCCTTGTGGCATAGAAGAGCTGTGAACTGATGGCGCTGAACAACTAGATTGAAAGCAGACAGGATGTCTGTTAAATATCTGAAGTTTAGTATTAGTGTGATTGCAGCCATAACATAGGAATTTGGCAAAAGTGTAATATAGGTAGAAATGTTTTTTACAATTACAACAAACAAATGAAGAACTCAAACTAATAATATAATAGAAATAAAAACCTCCTGTTCTTCTCTATGTTTCTGGTCCTGATCTTGCAATTGTTTCTGCAGCTTGTGCAGCCTTTCCTCCTGCTCCTTCAGCTTTGCTGTCAAACTGTCATTGGGATCCAACACTGTGTGATGTGGAATGATGTTAAGAGTGGAATCAGGTCTGTATGATGAATCATCATCGTCGTCTGCTTGTTGTTTCTCCATTTTCCTTTCATTTGTAACGACATTCGTGTCAGATTCTGATGCTGTGTGAATGTTGCTACTGATACTATTTGTTCTAAATAATGACTGAGATGGGCTTGGTGGGCAGCTATCTTCAGAGTGATGCCTCTCAAATTTGTGCCTGGACATATTTTGATGCTTTTTTTCTCCCTCTGTTGCCCTTTTCATTAGTGTGATCACTGAGTTTTTTCTGCCAAGATTTTGTGTCTTTCTGTGTATTTTCAACATCTTCTTCACTACTTCCTCTGTCTTTGCATTGAACTGAAATTATATGTTGCAAAGTTAGTACTTTGAAAAATAAGTAATACAATCAATTTGTAGGAATTTGTTAACAGACATTAGTCGTGGAGTTGAACCCCCGGGATGCCAAAGGGACATATATGAGGGTCGTTCAAACAGTAGTTGGCCTCATCTATAAAATGATACAAATGCAGGTGTCTTTATGTTTGTAACCTCAAACAAAATGGTTTTGCTATGTTCCAGCTTTCACGATCCCTATTTATTTTTGTTTTAATTTAAACATTTCATTCATCCACCCCCATTACGGAACATTGACCTTCAGGCCAGGGAAATGAAGGTCATTGACATAGAGGAAATACGATCCCTATTTTGTTTGACTTATTATCTTGGTATTCCCAAAAATACACAAAATCTGTTTAAATGCATCACAAACTTCAGGGAACAAAATATGCAAGAAACATTTAGTGTGTGAGATAAGTAGAAGTGCTCTAGAATCAAAGTTAGATATTAAAGTGCATAAAAAAACTACAATCTCTTGTTAAAGCGACTCCCCCCTTCACATTTACTGAAAGAGCTTGTTTTCAAGGTACACCCCCTTTCAGATGACGTAATCGATAAGGACATAACTTATTCAAATGTTTTCACTTCTTCATACATGATGCCTAGGGTTCAAACTAAATACTAAATGGTCACAGAAGCGTCAACTCTCAATATATTGCAAACAGTGCCAGCTTGAATATCTGGACACAATGATTTTGAAAGATTAAAATGGGTTTGTCCTTAACAAACCAAAATATATATCAAGCAATCCTAATCTTTGAATGTTGATTGGAATTGGAAGTCATCCAATACTATACTGAACATATTTTACATGATGTTATCTGAGGGCATACCATTATCCAAGAGGTAGACCATTATCCAAGAGGTAGACTGATCATTTTCCGTTTTCAGCAATTTTTTAAGAAATATTATACCCCAATGTGTTATGATGACTAATATCTCGTTAACCACATATTTGATTTTTTTTATATGGCTTTGCTAATGATTCCTTCAAAATAAAATGGAAGCTTTTCAAAGATTGGACATCGAGAATATAGTTAGGCCAACTACTTTTTGAATACACTTTACATTACCATCAAACATCATCTCAAACAAAGAATATATATTTCATACTCAGTTGCAACAAATACACCACTTGCAAGTCCTTTTATATGAAGGTCAGTTCGATAAGAGTAAACACAATCACCCTACCCTGCTGTTTACACTTTCAGTAATGTAAGTGACACGTACCCTACTCACTAATTAACAAGAAACTGATTGATACTTCCTGCTTCTGAATAATCTCGGAGTCAATACCCGCTAATCAACAAAATGTAAACACTTGCTTGTTTATACAGTCAAACTGCCCACTACATGTATTAATTATTCAGGGTAAGTGTTACGCACCACTCACTGATTAACAAGATACTGATTAACACTTCCGCTTCTGAATAATCTCGAGTCACAGGCTAATTGTGTTGTTACATCATTTGGACCTAATTGCATCAAAGGGTTACGCCGTCTTTCATGTGCCGGTTTTAACAGATTGGTTTTCATAACAACTTGTTCGTTGGGACTGAAAAACAATGCCGATATCCTGAATAGACAGATGCCGATGTTTACAGAAGTTTCTAAATGATATTAACGTGCATTTCTGCCGGGACTGAAACTTTGTGCCGATGTAGACAGAGTGCCGGTGTTTACAGAGGCCGGTATTGACAGAGTCCACTGTATTATAACATAATGGACTCATCACCCTCTCATTATTAATCCCTATCCCTATCGACAGAACAAAACTGGCTGGGTGGGTGCTTTAGCATATGAGTCATGATAAGTATAAATTATATTCTTATCTAAAAAATACATCTTTTGCCTTATCCTGACTCAAACTAATTGTTTGAATCCCACAGTAAGTGGTGGGATCCATCGTTTGCAGGATTCTGACGATCCTCTGGTCTATAGTCTTTCCAGACATCTCGTTAACCGCTTATTTGATTTTTTTATATGGCTTTGCTAATGATTTTTCAAAATAAAATGGAAGCTTTCAAAAGATTGGACATCGAGAATATAGTTAGGCCAACTACTTTTTGAATTGAATACACTTTACATTACCATCAAACATCATCTCAAACAGAGAATATATATTTCTATACTCGTTGCAACAAATACACGCACCGCAATTTGCAGCCTTATGTGAAGGTCAGTTCGATAAGAGTAAACACAATCACCCTACCCTGCTGTTTACACTTTCAGTACAGTACCGGTACTCTGTCAATACTTACGGCGTCAATCCGGGACTCAAATAAAAATGCGGTTTTGACAGAGGCTGTTGGCGATTTAACTAATTAGTCGCTTATGGCAGCTGCGCTTAAGCAAGACGAAGTTACCTGTCGTACTGTCACTTTAGCATTAACAAGATGTTTGAATAAGGCAGTGTCTGAATGCACATGCATGTTGTTTAAATCAAATAAAATGTCTGAAATCTCTTGGCAGTTAAATTTCCAACTGATGTCCATATATTATGCGGCAGATTTGCGCAATGTATAAACTATTTTTAATGTTGTTGAAAACAACGATTCTTGTTTATGCTTGACTAGCGGGTCTACAATAGCACTTGTCAAAAGAGGCAAAATAATGATGTTTGCACAAACAATGAGGAAATCGATTAAATAAATTGAAATCAACAATAACATTCATAAAAGTTGTCAAGCGTGCACATACAATTACTATTTCTATTATAACATAATGGACTCATCACACTCTCTCATTATTAATCCCTATCCCTATCGACAGAACAAAACTGGCTGGGTGGGTGCTTTAGCATATGAGTCATGATAAGTATAAATTATATTCTTATCTAAAAAATACATCTTTTGCCTTATCCTGACTCAAACTAATTGTTTGAATCCCACAGTAAGTGGTGGGATCCATCGTTCACGGATTCTGACGATCCTCTGGTCTATAAGCCCCATGGGAATGTGCATCTTCTACCTTTCCAGACATCTGCTTTCTTCTTTCAATGGGGCAGCACCTCAAAAATCAATCTTATTGATTCTGTGGATTTTGTAAGCATGCTTAGAATTCGATTCCAGCTTGCTTACAATGATTAGTGTGTTAAGAGAACGATCCGTAATCTTACTCAATCGTTCTTCACTCATGTTCTGATTTATTACGAAAACAGGGGTACATGGACTCTCAGTTGGTGGTTATGATCCTTAAATGGTGATCTGACTTCCATGAGTCTGCATGACATTGGTGAGTCTGATTTTAGTCTCTCATCTCCGACTGGGTATTTTCAGCTGTAGCACGACCACTAGAGATCCGAATTGACATATACCTTCCGCCAATGGAGAAGGTTCCGCCTCCACAATAAACAGCCCAGGACACGTGCAATCAAGTCCAAACAGGAACAATTACATGTATTGTTAGTAATTATTAGTAAACTTACCTCTGGATTATGGTTGCCTTATTCCTGTGGATTCCACAGACACATACAGAATGGAAATGAAATTTTTTAACTAAGTCATAGCTATCCCTAGTGGTATGCTTAAAAGAGTTATGCAGTTATCTCCCTTGGCTGTAACGTCACAACATAGTTGTTGAAAACCTCTCATGATTTTTCTGAAGAAAAACTAACATCTTCTGCATCTCCTCGTGGGGAGATTAGCGCGGGCACTACATCCCATAATCCAGAGGTAAGTTTACTAATAATTACTAACAATACATGTAATTGTTCCTAATTATAAGAGTAAACATTCCCTCTGGATTATGGTTGCCAGAATCACACATAAGGAAGGAGGGTTTATGCAGATGATGAATACAGCAATAACCACTAACTATCTTGTTATAGTCTATGACATAACAATCAGGGTAACTATGACTTAGGTGATGAAATGATGAAATGTAAATATATGAATTATATGAATTATCTAGATCATTCCCTGGATATTCTAGTATTCAATTACCTAAAGGGAAGGATCATACTCGTGAGGGAGAAATATTACGTCACTTCCTGTCCAAGACCTCATAGGTGGTTCTGTAATAGTCTATTTGACCGATTCTCATTTAAACCGGTTTCTGTGATGTCACTTCCTGTTTGATGACGTCACTTCCTGGTCTCATGCTGGGAAAACTATTGTTCACTAAGTTGGGGTCACAGTCCTGGTAAACAAAAGTGATGGTCCTCCTAAGCCAAGACGATATAATATGCAATCAAGATCTCCGAAGCAACAATTGTCTTGCATGAGATAAAAAAGACAGCGGCAAATACGTCTGATATGGAGAGTACGCTGGAGAATAGGTCATAGGACTCTAGTTCAGTCTGATCTAGAGGCAGATGTAGGGAATACTTGAATCTGGGATACTCTGTGGATGAGAGACCGCTAGCAGATGCCCGATTCTTGGCAAGAAAAAACTGGTAAAGTGCTACATGACAGCTATCCATAGCCTCCTGTAAAGGTGATTGACTAAAGTCTATGGCAAAAAATTCTGGTATTCTGAAACTGGAAGCTGTATCAATGACAAGGAGAAAACCCCACCTGTTAAGGAAAAGAAATGTCAAGGAATTTCCTACATAGGTTTGGAAGACTTCTGGGGGGACTACAGAATGAGACAAAGCCAACATGGGGAAGATTGTAGGACTAGGAGCTGAAAAAAATAAAAGAATAAATAAAGAATTAAATTCATAACTGGAATGATCTAATCAGCTTGTAGATCAAGCTGTTAGAACCACTGCTAGTCCTTGTATATCTTAAACAGAAACGATTGCTGATCTGTAGTCCACCATAGGACTGTTTCAGTGTCTTAACGTCACGAAGATAAAGATAGAAATCCGCTAAGAAATCTGAATTCCCCTCAACATAAAAAATGGAGGATCGATATCAGAACAATGAAAACATATCCAGAGATTGGTGAAACAATTTCCTCATTGGATTGTTCTGGAAGTTCTTCTCCAATCAAGAGGCGAGATGGTACTAGTGCTG